TCTCACAAAAAAGGGGTCGGCGGCACCAGGGCGGAGCCCTTACAATTGTATCCATACAGTATATATATATATATTATGATAATAATTGATAGATACAACTATTGAGTATTGAACAACACGACGGTACTGCAAACGCCACTTGCATACTGCTATATATGGGTCAGTTGATGGGTTTTGAGCATCTTGTAGTAGGGAATTGAAGTTGGTCCACATGGTCAGGAAAGCTAGCTGGAGTCAAGAGTTGAGATGCTCATCCTTGCGTGATATTGTCCAAAAGGTCTTTGCTACATAGATCATAGATGTGTAAACTGAAATAACCAAAAGAAAGAAAAAAATACATGGCCTGGTGCCTCTGCTGGAGCACCTTGGCAAAACAAGAAAGTCAATGAAGTTGTGGTCGTGAAGTCAAACATATCTTAGCAGCCTCACGTCACTACATACTCTACATGCAGTCACTAATACCGCAAGTCTAAGTTGTGCAACAAACAGCACAAGAACGGTGCTCCGCAGCAGAAAGGCAAGTATCTTCCGAATGATGGCTCAAATGCTCTGACATGCTTGAAATGCGGCAACTGTTGCAATCAACTTCTGCTAAGTGAAGGAGATTGCTGCAATCAACAGTCGAAACACTGGCCACGCAGGGCAACTTCTAGGCACTGCATGCACAGAAAGGAACAGCTATGCCTCACGCGACCTAAAGCTCAACGACTAGCCGAAGCTTCTGTGCTCAGCGGCAGCAATGTGAGCCTCATTCACTATGACTCAGATGTCCTGGGCTGCTGCTAATTTCTCATCCTCACACTTCTTTGAAACAAACCCAAGGGACTGTGCAGCAATGTTCCATGTCAACTCAGACCTCTGCGAAGAGCAAGAGCTGCACTCAAATGTCAAAAACACTTGCCACACAGAGCAACTTTTGGGCACTGCATGCACAGAAAGGAACAGCTATGCCTCACGCAACCTAAAGCTCCGACTAGGCGACGCTTCTGTGCTCAGCGGCAGCAAAGTAAGCCTCGTTCACTATGACTCAGATGTCCTGGGCTGCTGCTACTTTCTCATCCTCGCACTTCTTAGAAACAAACCCAAGGGCCCAGGGACTGTGCAGCAATGTTCCATGTCAACTCAGACCTGCGCGAAGTGCAAGAGCTGCACTCAACAGTCAACGCACTGGCCAAACAGGACAACTTCTGGGCACTGCATGCACGCAACCTATAGCTCAACGACTAGCCGAAGCATCTGTGCTCAGCGGCAGCAATGTAAGCCTCATTCACTATGACTCAGATGTCCTGGGCTGCTGCTAATTTCTCATCCTCACACTTCTTAGAAACCTGCTAACCTGAGGGACTGTGCAGCAATGTTCCACATCAGGAGGTGTGGGGCTGCAAGAATTGAGGGCTCCACGATGGTCCAAATCCAATAAAATTGTATAGAAGCGCTATTATACACCCATATCACATCTAACAATATGCAGTTGTTGAAGCATGAGTGGCTCAAATCATTGTTAAATGAAAGATACTGTATACGATTGAGGTTGATTTCCTGCTGTTGAGCACACTTGCTTCAGCTAAAAAACAAGTCCAGGTTGCTTGAAGATGCAAAAAGGTGGAGACAGTGTGATTTTCACCAAACCTTTGTGGTCACTCACCGTGAATCTTGGCCATGCGACCCGCTCTTGCACTTGGCAGTGGCCTTTGGGACCTCGGGCTCCGGCCATGTGCTTCAGCCCGCTTCTGCTGCTGTCCCACATAGGCATCCTGCGCCTTGGTCAGTTCCTGGCATGGAAGAAACAGGTGACGCTGAGCCTGAGAGCTAGGCTGAAGTCCCTAAGATGTTAGGCAAACCAAGGACTCTACTGGCACAATCCAAACCAAACTCGTGTTCAGATTTGTAGGAGGGAAGTGATAGAACTCCATCAACAGAACGGTACCCTTCCTGACAAATCTGGCCAATGAAATAAGGAGCGCAGGATAGCAACTGAGGAGAATCTTTGGGCGCCAAAGCCATGAACCAAGCCCTGTTGAAAAATCCTTGTCCGACCACAGCAAGCACATTTTCTCCGCAAAGCACTGCTCGTTCAAATCGAACAATCTCCTGCGGCCAAGGAAGGTCTGCACCTCGGATTACGTTTGCAATGAAGATCTGCTTTGACCAATACAGCTACAGCCTCTACAAAGCGGCAGGGAGAATGGGAATGGTGTCTAAATTATCTGAAAGCATTGATCATGATATTCGACATCCTGGAGATGAAAGCTTGGCACTTGCTCAATTCCAGAGGTGCGATCTTCCAGCCATTTCCACTGCTTGTAGGGATGAACTGCCAGGTCACCATGTATGTGCCAAGATGCAGGTTTTGCACGTCGAATCTTTGGACGATCGCCTATGCCTCCCAAGCAAACATGGAACAATTGCTCTGCTCGTGTGTGTTGGAATGTCTGCGAATTGGAAGCTGAAAACATTCAAGCCAGGGAACCAATCAAGAGACTTGACTAGTGAAGCCAAGAGAGCAAACAAGTACACAATGTCACAGAATGTCTGTGCGCGTCCGTGTCCAAGATAATAATTGAAAAATTACATGGACTTGGATGTGCTGATCTGATCTGTTCGGCCCACCAACTGAAGAGCTAGATGCGCCACAAGCGCGAGGGCCATGCAGCCTGGAGACGATGTGATCGTCACATGTCAAGACTAGGGGTGAGCCTTTCCCCTGGAAGAATGTCGCTTACAAAAGGCTGTAAAAAATCCAAATCGATCCTCTCCTCCAAGAATGCCATCGTGCGAGTTCTCTATAAAATTGTGGTTTCATTGTACCCCCTGGTCAGGAAATTGAAAGGATACAAAGGGGAAAAAATGGTAAGGGATGAAGAGAGATGGTTGGTTGGTTGGTTGGTTGGTTGGTTGGTTGGTTGGTTGGTTGGTTGGTTGGTTGGTTGGTTGGTTGGTTGGTTGGTTGGTTGGTTGGTTGG